GGAGAAAAAATAGTAGTTCCCGGACCACTTGATGCCATGCAGGTGCCACAGTGTGGGGTGGATAGGGAGTAGTTTGAAGGCGTTAGTAATGTCGGTCTTACTGAGCCAGGCTCCAACCCCTGCTTGTATGATAGCTGTAATGGCATGATCTATGGTGGTGTATTGCAGAGAAAATTCCTCAGAGGGTATGAGGGAATTAAGACTGGGGTTGGCCGATGAGTGGGGAGCCGATAAGTCAATGATGAGTATCTGTTTTTGGGAAGATTTCCCTGTGACAATACCAATAGGGTTGGTGCGCCATTCTGTGAATGGAGGAGTTCTAAAAGGTCCCAATACAAAGCCCTCATCCACTTCTTGGGCTATGAGGGTGTCAACCACTGTGGGGTTGTGTTGGGCGGATTGTAGGTTAGGGCATTCCAGAGTTCCAGCTGGTATGTGTAGGATACTTGTGTGGAAGCCTTCTGTTAAACCAGAAAATAAGAAAGTCTACCAGGTGTCTAGATGGGTGTTGAGACATCAATGCTGTGAATACTGGCATATTAATGGACGTAAGGTAAGGCTTGGAATACATTTTATTTGGACACATGGTCTTTGCATGTGCCCTAAAACATTTTGAACAGACATGCAATAGTCTACATCCACTGTAATTACAAGACCCAACATTGAAATTATTACATATCTGGGACTTGCCCAGAAACTTGATTGGGCGTCCCAATTTGTCTTTGGATAGTTTCCCTGGATCCCCAGAGGAACTAGTTCCTTGTGTGGAGGCATGTCCGTCTGCCGTGTTGGGACAAAAATTAGTAGTATGGGCTGTGGAGGAGCAGTATACACAAGCTGGTGTTCTTAGACCTGCAAAGTGTCTGCAAAATAAGACGGTATCAATCCTTCCCCAGTTGGATCGTGTTCCGTACTGGGAGAAGGCTCCAGCCACTTTTGCAGAAAAAGACCTATGGTAGTCATAGAATGCTGAACCACCATATTTGTTGCCCAGGTCTACCAGCTTGTGCATATAGAGATCAAACTCCTCTCTTCTGTTGGGATAAACCGCACAGATGACATCCCTGTAAATACCAAATGCTAGTACAAATTCTGGGATAGTCAGTTTCCTGTTCAGGCGGGCATCCCTAGATCTGACAATAACAGAAACATCATCATAAGCATACGTCTTATGTTCCACAATGTCCTGGGAGGCAATCAACAGGGAAGCCAGGTTGACGTCTTTACCTTCCAGGATATCCCTTTTGATATGCTCAGGTATCATGTGGGCTGGGCTAACTTCCTGGTCATCCAGGGTGCTGGCTGGAGCAACTAATGGCAAGGCTGGTGTTTGTACCGCAGCCGCGGGTGGCCCTGCTAGAGTGAGGGCCGTGGTGACCGACTCAAATTTCTCCAGCCTGGAGTTGACCTTGCCCATGGATGCCATGAGTGAGGATAACATGGCATGTATGTCCCCTGGGATGGACTGGCTAGATCCTTCCCCGGCTTCCATGTTATTAGTTGATGTGCGTAGCAGTTTGAAAAGTTCTGCCTTCCTTGCTGTAGCGGGGTAGGGGATTTGTCGTCTCCTTAATTCCGTGGTTATGCGCGGGATTGTCCAGGATCTAATTGATGCTGGACTAGCTAGCTCTCCTCCTTGTGTGGGAGTGACAGCTCTAGCCGGGGTGCTAGGCAGGGAGAAATCCTCTACCCCTTCCTGAGACATACTATAAATAAAACAATAATTAGTATATAGAACCACCAAATTGTACTGGCAGGCTAGCTAGGCCGGATGGCGAAAGTATTATACTTGTTTGGTGACAGGTGAGGCCCTGCTAATTGCCAAGCGGCTTGAGAGGCTCTATCTATGCGTTGGCGCGAGGGGTTATTGAGGCCACTTGACGTAGTGGCAGGAGTTTTAGGCCTCTCGGTGACTGTATGACAGAAAACAGGGGAAGGGAGTGACAGGTGAGGCCCTCTCTTTGCAACATGCGAGGCGGCTAGCTAACGTGTGGCCCGATGGGTGTTTGCCTCTGGAACGTTTGAGGCGGGGTGTTGGCCTCGCGGGACCACTAACTGATGGCGACAGCCAAGACGGGGTAAATACCTATTGGGAATCCTGTGACCCTATTGCCAGTACTCTAAACTAGGGGGATGAAATGAAATGTATGGTAGAATACCATATGAGCAGGTGTACGTACCTGGTAGTATGACAAATCACAGGAATAAACCGTGTGGAGCAATTATATAAGCTTGACATCCTAAAAATGGGTAAAAGAGAGTAGTATGATGAGTGTGGAGTGTGAAAAGAAACAGACTTATAGTCTGTAGCAGTAATGTATTAGAATTATGTTGATACCATGGGAATAGCTATGAGTGGCTCAGAAATGTTTGCACGCTTGAATAAGACACCTGAGGGAGGCCGTGGCCTATGTACAAACAATCTATGTGTTACGTGATAATGGTGTGTAAAGGAAAACAGGAAACGTAGGTTATATACATATGTATATGACTGTGCAGGGAACGTATGATTGGTTGGATCAGTACGTGTGATTCAACCCGAGTATGCATAAAAAGGATTTAAGCCTTATGTGTCATCGTCATGACAGAGAAATGAGGCCTGTAATATAGGCTGAGTGAATTGAAATGAAATGGATAGTTATAAACTCCTGGCGTGGGAGTTCAATGACCTGTACAGAAATGCAACTGGTTTTATAGAAAGGGACATGGATGAGGTCATGGCCTATTTTACACAGCGTTATGTATGACATGTAGCAGAATAACCAAAGGCAGGGATACCCCAAAATGATTAAAATTATGTAAAGTGATGTATATCTATATGATATATTTGTATAGAAAAGACGTATCAACCCGAGAATTATTGCCTAAATGAACCTATATCCTTTGTATGTGTTGTAGTAATAACCCAGAAGTGAGGGCTGTAACATAGGCTGAGTCCATTTGTATAAATGGATAAGTACTGCAGACCCCTAAAGCGTGGGAGTCAAATGGTATATACAGAGAAGTGGACTTGATTTGTGGACGTAATACAATACTGACAATATTTAAAAGAAATCAAAATAATCTATTTAAACAAGCAATTCTTATCCGAACATTATGTACACATGAAATGGTGAATATAATTCATGAAAGGATTATACGTGAACACACAGAAAAGCCGAAAGCAAATGTGAGGGAAACACAGAAGTTAGAATAGTTTAACCGTATTTAACCGTATTCTCACATTATTCTCACATTATTTGAAAGCAGCCTCTATTAAGTAGACTCTTTCAAGTAGGAGTTAGAAAACCAGGAGTTACTTGGAGTGGTTTGTATACTGTGGAGAGTGGTTTGTATTTTATTTTTGTTTAATCTTTAAAGTTGGTAAGGTTTAAAAAAAAAAATTGTTTTTTAAATTTACTTTTTTTTTTTGTGTGTTCTGGTTTTCCCCCCTTTTTTTGTGCTGCTGCTTGATTGATTGGGGGAGTGTTCATTGTTTGCACCTGTGTGGGATTTGTATCCCCATAAAGGCACACCCCTAACTCACTGAGCTTGCTCACATTATTTGAAAGCAGCCTCTATTAAGTAGACTCTTTCAAGTAGGAGTTAGAAAACCAGGAGTTACTTGGAGTGGTTTGTATACTGTGGAGAGTGGTTTGTATTTTATTTTTGTTTAATCTTTAAAGTTGGTAAGGTTTAAAAAAAATAAAAAAAAAATTTTTTTTAAATTTACTTTTTTTTTTTTGTGTTCTGGTTTTCCCCCCTTTTTTTGTGCTGCTGCTTGATTGATTGGGGGAGTGTTCATTGTTTGCACCTGTGTGGGATTGGTATCCCCATAAAGGCACACCCCTAACTCACTAAGCTTGCTCACATTATTTGAAAGCAGCCTCTATTAAGTAGACTCTTTCAAGTAGGAGTTAGAAAACCAGGAGTTGAAACAAACAAGGGGTTTAAACTATCAAGGTAATTGTTTTTATTTACTGTTTAAAGGGGAAATGAGTGTTAGCAAGATTGCTGGTTTAACTCAATGCACATCTTGTTGCATGTATGGCTGCCTGGATGTACCCGTCCAGGGTCCATACCTCTGTGATGGTTGTGTGCGAGTGGCTTCTCTGGAAGCTCAGATTGGAGATCTCGAGAAGCAAATCGCAACATTGAGGGAGATTGACAATCTTGAGAGGAGTCTACTGCTCACTGAGCAGAGTTTAGTGGGGACAGGTAGTGGAGAGGGAGGAGATAAGACACATGGGGAACAGGCATGTAGCTGGGTGACAGTGGGGCGAGGAAGCAGGGGGGGAGGGAAGAGGAAAGGGCTAGCTAGTCCTGATTTGATGCAACCTAGCAGATTTGCCCGTTTGAGGGAAGATGTTGGGAGCATCAGCTCAGGAGTAGCTGTATTAGAGGAAGCTGTTACTTCTAACAGCCCCCCTAGTACGGGTGGGGATCAAAATGTAAGGAAGGCAAGACAGGTTGTGGTGGTAGGGGACTCTATCATTAGGAGAGCAGATAGGGCAATCTGCCGCTCTGATCGGCTCAACCGGACAGTTTGCTGTCTCCCGGGTGCTCGGGTCCGGCATGTTGCTGACAGAGTGGATGGATTATTGGGAGGGGCTGGGGATGACCCAGCGGTCATGGTCCATGTTGGTACCAATGACAAAGTAAGAGGAAGATGGAAGGTCCTAAAGAATGATTTCAGGGAATTAGGTAGCAAACTTAAGAAAAGGACCTCCAAGGTGGTATTCTCTGAGATATTACCTGTGCCACGCGCTACAGTGGAAAGGCAGCGGGAGATTAGAGAGGTCAATGCGTGGCTTAAGTCTTGGTGCAGGAAGGAGGGTTTTGGGTTTTTAGAGCACTGGGCCGACTTTGCGATTGGGTACAACCTTTATAGTGGTGATGGATTGCACCTAAACGGGAGAGGGTCTGCAGTGCTGGGGGATAGGATGGCTAGAAGGTTGGAGGAGATTTTAAACTAGTAGTAGGGGGGGAGGGTCATAGCAATCTACAAAATGGAGATAGGACAGAAAGGAGATGGGCTTTAGCACAGTACAAGGGGGGTGGAAACGGGGGGAGGGGCAAGCTCAGAACAGAGAAGCTGTGTAATGTTGAAAATTCACAAAATATACAAGTGATGCATAATATTAAATGTATGCTTACTAATGCAAGGAGCCTAAATAACAAAATGGGGGAACTAGAGGCATTAGCATACACTAAACAATATGATATAATAGGCATAACTGAAACATGGTGGGATGAGACACATGACTGGGCAGCTAACTTAAATGGGTACACGTTATTTAGGAAGGATATGTCAAACATGATTTAAAGCCAAATGTTAAGCAAATGGAATGCGAGGAGGATAATGTGGAAGCTTTATGGGTAAATATCTGCTTGGGGGAAAAGAAGGGAAACAAACTATTGGTTGGGATATGTTATAAACCACCTAATGTTAATATTGACGAGGAACAACAGCTGTTTGAGCAAATTGAGAAAGCTGCAAATCTGGGTAACACTTTAATTATTGGAGATTTTAATTACCCGGATATAAATTGGGACAGAGGGACTAGTGCCTCAGCAAAGGGAATTAGGTTTTTAAACTTGTTAAATGACACCTTCATGTCACAACTTGTACAAGCACCAACTAGAATGGATGCTTGTCTGGACCTGGTTTTAACAAACAACGTTGATCTTTTGACCAACATTCAAGTAGGTGAGCACTTGGGAAATAGTGATCACAATATAGTGTCCTTTGAAATAAACTCAAAAAAACAAAAGCACATGGGGAATACTAAAACATATAATTTTAAAAAGGCCAATTTCAATAAGTTAAGGGAAGCTTTACAATATATTGACTGGCATAAACTCTTTAGTGAAAAGAACACTGAGGATAAATGGATCATCTTCCAACAAATATTACAAAGGTACATTTCTCAGTATGTACCATTGGGAAATAAATATAAAAGAAACAAATTAAAACCAATGGCTTAGTAGAGAAGTAAAACAAGAGATTACAACTAAGAGAAAGGGCATTTAAAGCATTTAAATCGGACAAATCAGATGCATCTTATAAAAGATATAAGGATGCAAATAATGCGTGCAAAAAGGCAATTAGACTTGCTAAACTTCAAAATGAAATAATGATAGCTGAAGAGAGCAAAACCAACCCCAAAGCATTTTTTAAGTACATAAATTCTAAAAAAAAACAAAATGAAAGTGTAGGTACACTAAAAACTGAAACGGGGGTGTTAATTAATGAAGACCAGGAAAAGGCAGGAATTTTAAATAACTATTTCTCCTCCGTATATATTAAGGAAGAACCCATGGCAATAGATGTGCAAATGATTGCTACTAAAAACTTGCAGAATAATTGTAATTGGTTAACTCAAGACAAGGTGCTGCAGCAACTAAAGAAAGTTAATATAAACAAAGCTCCAGGGCCTGACGGTATCCATCCACGTGTACTTAAGGAACTAAGTGCAGAAATAAGTGAACCTCTGTTTTTAATCTTTCAAGATTCTTTTCTTTCAGGAAGTGTTCCGGAGGATTGGAGGAAGGCAGATGTGGTTCCTATATTCAAAAAGGGTTCAAAATCCTTGCCTGGAAATTATAGACCTGTGAGCTTAACTTCTGTGGCTGGTAAAATATTTGAAAGGTTATTAAGGGATAATATTCAAGAATTCCTTGAGAAGAACATGGTTATCAGCAAAAATCAGCATGGTTTTATGAAGCACAGGTCATGTCAAACTAACTTGATTGCGTTCTACGAAGAAGTAAGTAGAAGTATAGATCAGGGTGTTGCCGTGGATGTGATCTTTTTGGATTTTGCCAAGGCATTTGATACAGTTCCACACAATAGATTAGTGTTCAAACTCAAGGAAATCGGTCTAGATGAAAATGCTTGTTCTTGGGTAGAACATTGGCTTAAAAACAGAGTACAAAGAGTTGTCATTAATGGTAAATTTTCAAGCTGGACAGAGGTGGCAAGTGGTGTCCCTCAGGGGTCTGTTCTGGGACCCCTTCTATTTAACATGTTTATAAATGATCTTGAAGACCGCATTGAAAGTCATGTTTCAGTGTTTGCAGATGACACCAAACTTTGTAAAACAATACAATGTGAGCAAGATATTACTTTGCTGCAGAGGGATTTAGATAGACTGGGGACTGGGCACTCAAATGGCAGATGAAATTTAATGTTGAAAAATGCAAAGTTATGCACTTCGGCGTAAAGAATACACAAGCAACGTATACCCTTAATGGAAGCGAATTAGGGATAACAACACACGAAAAGGACTTGGGAATTGTTATAGACAACAAACTATGCAACAATGTGCAATGTCAATCAGCAGTGGCCAAGGCCAGTAAGGTATTGTCATGCATGAAAAAGGGCATTCATTCTCGGGACAAGAATATAATTTTGCCTCTTTATAAATCACTGGTAAGACCCTTACATTGAATATGCTGTGCAATTTGGGCACCTGTTCTAAAGAAGGATATTATGGCACTAGAAAAAGTGCAGAGGCGGGCTACAAAATTAATAAAAGGAATGGAACATATCAGCTATGAAGAAAGGTTAACAAATGTAAACCTATTTAGTTTAGAAAAACGTCGCCTGAGAGGGGATATGATAACATTATACAAATATATTCGCGGCCAATACAAACCATTGTGTGGAAATCTATTCACAAACCGGACTTTACATAGGACACAAGGCCATGAGTTTAGACTGGAAGAAAGATTTCGTCTAAGGCAAAGGAAAGGTTTTTTTACTGTAAGAACAATCAGAATGTGGAATTCTCTGCCTGAGGAAGTGGTTTTATCAGAGTCCATACAGATGTTCAAACGGCTACTAGATGCATACTTGCAAGAACAGAATATTCAAGGATAGAATCTTTCAATGTAGGGTAATAACTGCTTGATCCAAGGATAAATCTGACTGCCATTCTGGGGTCAAGAAGGAATTTTTTTCCTAGTTTGTTGCAAAATTGTACTTCAAACTGTTTTTTTTTGCCTTCTTTTGGATCAACAGCAAAAAACAAATGTGAGGTAGGCTGAACTTGATGGACGCAAGTCTCTTTTCAGCTATGTAACTATGTAACTATGATTTATGCGAACCGTAAGCGTGTTTGAGCGTAGTGAAAATTTGCCAAACGGCAAAACAACCGAATGATAATTCGTTTCAATATTACATGAAATAGGATATGCGAAATGACTATTGAACGATTAACTATGTTCAGCCGAATGACCGTGCGAATGAAAAAGCCCGCGAATGGCTTGAAACATTTGTGTCATAACCAGGGAAAAAGCCGTAAAGCGAGGACCCGTGCTGTACCGTACGCCGTGGGAACCGGTCCTGGCGTGACAGGAAGGTCTGACTTACGGTTTAGGAGTCCCTGGGACGCGATCTACGATGGAGACCGGAGTCAGAAGACGCTGGACGGGCGGAAGGCCTGAACAGGATTCCTGGACACAGCTAACGTGGTGAAAACCTCGTGGATACTGAAACCAAGATGGCGTCTGAGAGAACCCGGAAGTGGATCCTCATTCAACGCTGACCTCGAACGGTAAGGAGCAAGGTAAGGGGAGTGCCTTAAATAGGCTAGGGGTAGAAAACCAGCACCTCCCACAAATGCAGGCAAATTGCCTTAATACATATATATATATATATATATATTTATCCCCTTAACAATCGTGGATGTACTAGGTACGTCTGACAAAAAACGGTTGTTAAGGACCGTGGATGTGCCTAGTACGTCTGCGGCAAATAAGAGTCCTGGACTTACCTGGACAGGTGATCATGGTGGGGGGGACTGCCAGAGACCACAGCAGTCCCCCTGCAGCAGCTTCGGCCACCCATGCCATCCAGGGCCATGTGATCACCATGATCACATCGCCGGAATAGGACTTTAGGAGCTGCCAGCGGGGGGACTGTCAGGCAGTCTCCCAGGCTGCTAAAAAGTAAACAAATATTATACATATACAGGTGGTCCTCATTTAGTAACCTACCTGTTTTACGACGGCTTGCACTTACGACCAGGCGTAAGTGCGAGCCGTCATGGGGATTCCCTGCTCTGGTGCGCATGTCTATGTTCGGGGAAACTTTCCCAAACATAGATGAATGCACCAGAGCAGGGAATCCCTCAAATCTATGTTTGGGGAAATTTCCCTGAACACAGATTAGAGGGATTCCCTGCTCTGGTGCGTTCGTCTATGTTCGGGGAAGTTTCCCCGAACATAGATGAATGCACCAGAGCAGGGAATCCCTTAATTCTTCACTTACCGACCAGGTCACAGGAACTGAACCCGGTTGGTAAGTGAGGAGTGTCGGTATTATATATGTATAATATATTATAAAATAATTCAAGCATTTTATAATATATTATACATTTATAAAGTATATATGATTTCATTATAAGTGTACTTTGAGGTATATACACATATATATCAAAATACACTTATAATCAAATCATATATATGCATTATATATGTATAATATATTATAAAATGCTTTAATTATAATATATTATACATATAGCACATATTATATATATATATATATATATATATATATATATATATATATATATATATATATATATAGATAGATAGATATGTATATATATAATATAAATTGGAAAAAAAAATTAATAAAAAACAAATAAACACGCTAACTTTGGCCACCACAAAAGACTGGACATACCCCATTTTAAATACCCTGTGTTGTCTACATTTGTAAATGGTATGCCATGATGGGGTTATTTCACATTCCTGGGCTACCATATGGTCTCAAAAGGCAACACAGTCCCAGCAAACCAATTTGGCAATCTGAATCGGACAAGCCCTATATTGACCTTGTAACTTTCCAAAACACCATAAAACCTGTACATGGGAGGTATTGTTATACTCAGGAGATTTCGCTGAACACAAATGAGTGTTTAAAACAGTAAAACTTATCAGAACAATGAAATCACCAGTAAAATTGCAGTTTTTGTGTAAAAAAATGCAAAAAACAAATACAAAAGTGGTTACTCCAAAAGACTGGACATACCACATTTTGAATACCGTGGGTTGTCTACGTTTACAAATGGTATGCCATGATGGGGATAATTTTCATTCCTGGGCTGCAATACGGTCTCAAAGGCAACATAGGCCCTGCAAACCAATCTGGCAAATTTCAATGGGCAAACATGGAAAAGGGGAAGCCCTACGTTTGACCCTTGTAAGTTTGCAAAAACCAATAAAATCTGTACATTGGGGGCACTGTTGTACTCAGGAAATGTTGCTCAACCAAAATATATGGTTTGATGGGGGTACGTTACATTGGCCGGCTTCAAAAATGTCCCAAATAGGACATGGGTGCATGATGACCAGCTGTGAAAATTCCAAGTTGGAAAACTGGAATGCGCACCCTCCAATTAAGGTCTTTTAGAGAACCCAACACACCCCAGAGAACCTAACACACCTATACATGAGGGGTATCACTGTATTTAGGAGATGTTGCTGAACACATATTGGGGTGTTCTTTAACAGTAACCCTTAAAGTTCTCTGTACATGAATTTTTAAATTGCTATGTGTGTTAAAAAAAATCATCAATTATTATTATAATTTTTTTTTTATTTGGCATAGATTTGTGGTAAAATGCTTACATGAAAGAGTCACAATACCCCAAGTTTAATACCTTAGGTTGTCTTCTTGTAAAAATATATACATGTGAAGG